TTTCTGAATTTCTAGACAGCCATACCATTTTAACAGCAATAGAGATGAAACTTAAAAACACTTTCACAAAAGGTCCTTTTCTTATGTTGTACAAAAATAAAGCGGCCAAAAATTATCAGGTACATAAGAAATAGAAGCAAATTTATACAACTTTAAGTGAACTTGACACCTTTTTGATTGATTGGAGTTGAACGCCTCCGTTGGCACTACTATTTACATCATTTTGGAGACGGGCGACTCAACCCCGCCTGTGAGGGCCAGCCCCAGCAGAAAGACAGATACTGGGAGAAACTTATTCCCTAGACAGGAATAGAGCATAGATGATCTTCTGCGTGAGAGTGCGAAATGCGTAACCATTACAAAACAGATACTGAACTTTACTCCTTCCAAGAGACTTGCATGATGATAGTTTTGTACTTTTCATCACCCTGCAAATTTTGTTTTGAGAGTCACTTAAGTGCAGTTCTTGGTTAAGTCACAGAATGGACCCCCCCCCCCCCAACAACCAAAGTGTCCTACGTGAATTGGGCTTGACTCTCCAGGAAAGTGTTATAGAAATGTTATTATCATCACTATGACCACCTCTCAGCTTGGCACGTAATGATGACATATTTGGGTTGCAAGTGCCATTTATAAAAACTCTTTACTGAAACACCTCTGGGCATACACTCGTATCAATTCACTACAGCAGAAAACAACTGGTCCCTAAACATGTACGGTCCTCCTATATATATACCCAGCAACTGCTGATCATCATCAACACTACAATACAATGGGGGACTGGATAGTTTTGCTTTCTCAAATTTCTTCAAAAAAATTTCCATTACAATTACAATGCATATAACTAGACAATATTGAACCAATTACACAGACGAATTCCTGGTGGGAAAAAAACTGAAACTGGCCATGAAAATTGATAGAAAAACACTTTAAAATTTATGTTCTTTCCCATGTACAAGTTCCTATTGCCAAATCAATACAATCAGATAGAGAGATAGATAGATAGAGAGAGATAGAGAGAGAGAGAGAGACCTTGAGGACATGACTCACTCAGCTAAACTCAGTGTTGGGTTTCCTACACGTCCTACATACAGGCTTTGAAACTTGTTTTCATGAATAGGACAAAGTCAATTTGTTAAACCCTTCCATTACAAGAGACAAGTTGACCAATCAGTATTTTGAACCACGGAAACATGTCACAGAACCAGTCCGATGTTCATGAAGAAAAAACACATGAAAAAAACAACAACCCAACTCTCACAAAAGCAAGCTGTCTCTGAAGACATCACATATTGAATGAGATGAGAACAATTTCAATGTAAACGAACACACTTTTTAAAAAGACGAATAGCTCAAAAGTACAGACCTGAGAGTGAGACAATTATATTATCTATTCTTTTTTCTCTGGTAACTCTGCATCTTTTTCATGATTGATTTCACCCATCTAGATGTTCGACCTTTATAATAATATTCCACTGAGAGGGAAGGATACTACATAAAACCCACACCGATACCTTTAGATCAGAGGCCAATTAAAAATACAATCCTTAAGCCCCAAAAATATAAAAGAAAGAAAATCTGGGCATCTGCTCCATTGAGTCCATCTGTCAACTCATTTAGATTTTCACATCATACGACAGTTCCTGAGGAATATTACAAGCAAAGGCGGAGAGAGGTCATCAGCGTCAGCGAGACGTTTTAGTTTTAGTAAGGTTTTACGGCGCTCACAACTTTATAAGGCCAGCAAGACGTGATGTGAGGAGGCAACAGAGTGGGAATACAGGTCAGTCATTTTGCTAGCGGCGGTTTATGCCCCACAGACAAAAGTTTTTAGTCATTTAGGAAGCGGGCCGCTCTGATCCTCCCCTGAGTCAGGAGATCCAGCGCCAGGAAGACAGAGAAACTCAATAAAATACTTGTTCCCAGGCGGGAAATGAACTCATATATGTTCTCTGGCACCCTGAGTGCATAGTGAAAAGTTTTAAGTTATCAATTACATGCCAGAGAAGCCACAGGAAATAATACTGGCTGTCCACTGAGGACATTACAGTAGGGTTTTTGTCACAGTACTGTACTGCTCTCAAAACCGTAACCCTAGAACTCCTTGCAACACGTATGTATAAAAAGTATTTTTTTTATTAGTGATTGTCAGCTGATAGCTGTGTGTCCACTCCATTCTTATCCCCTGTCAGATCTCTTACAAATCATCCACTCTGTCTGCTAAAGCTTATATCCTTCTGTACATTTTGATGAAAGTTACTAGGAAACGCAACTAAAGAAACAAACAAACCACCCAACCAAAAAAAACAACATCTGACTCATATGACACTAACAGGCAATTAGATTCGTTATTCATGCTCTCCACATCAGTGTTAATTTATTTATGTATGTGTGAGTTCATGTCTATACATGTGTGAGTGCATGTTGTCTATACATGTGTGAGTATGTCGGTGCAAGAAAAGCTGATAGAACAGCTTTCGCTCCGCTATTGAAAATATCCTTTGTGTAGAGGAAAATTGTCATATTACAAATATATACACATGCTTATAATAAAAATATATATACAGTTTTTCTATGCTTCCCACACCCTGCAGTGCACAAAAGCGAGTCGAGTTGAAACACAGTGTGTGAAGAACCAGAAGATTAACATCCAATTTGCACAAATACCTCTCTGCAAGACAAGCTCACCGATAAATACTTGACACAGTTCCCTTTTAACAGGGGGGGGGGGGGAGAGGAAACAACTGATCCAGAAAGTCGGGAACAAGAGGTCAGAGGTTTAGGGATACAGGTCAGGGCAGAGACTGAGGTTTAAGGATAGATTAACAGAAATCACCAAGTCTTTCCCTGATCATTACCTCCATCAAAACCTTCAACCCCTGGCTAGGTTGGATTACCTGCTCCCCTCCCTTATCTTTTTTGTCTCCGGAGAAGAGAAAACCAGCATATTCAACACACAACATGACAAGAAATACACCAACAGCACATGCATTTCATTATTTTCATAGAGGCATAAAAAAGATAAGATCAGCACCCAAAACATGAAAATGGCAGAGAGAATAAATGCCCCAACTCACAATTGTACAAACAAATGAACAAACAGATCTTGGACCTGACTAGCAAAAAGTGTCACAACCAGTTTCAATATCTTTCCAACATTCACACACAGTCTTTTGAAAATAATATGAACTTCAATTTCTTTTTTGTCTTTTCTTACAACATTTGATACATCCATAACATGTCCATATACCTACTTAGCCTTTAAACAAGAAGCAAAGCCTATGCTCAACAAACACTCTCCACCAAAAAGGATACTGGTATAATTCAATACCCCACTGAGGACATCCCACAGCCGGTGGACCGCAAACAAAAATTAACATACACAGTAAACAAGAAAGTGAGAAACACAGCTGTACCTTTCTCTCACACAATTCTGTTTCCATTTTGGATCACAAAGTGGACTATTTGACAAAGACTGTCATGGTAATTCTTATCACAAGAAACATTAAAGCAGTTTGGTTTGGCTTATCTCTATAAAATCCATGTAACCCTTTCACACACCTGCCCTTCTCATGTGAATGATGAGGAACACAAACGATGCTGCATTATCATTTCCAAAGTAAGGTTTAAAGTGAGAAAACCTAAAGAAACACCACTTGATACTTTAACATTATTTCCAACCAACCCATAGCAACAAAATGAAAGAATGAAAATAGAAGTAACTGTGACCGAAACACAATGCCCCAAATCACAATCTTAACAGAACAGTTCAAGACAAAACAAAAAGTGTGATGCATAACACCTCAACAATTCAGTGATAGCCTTTAGTTCCCATCAGGGAAAGCCATTTAAAAAATAAAATAGAAAAAAGATAAACAAATTTCATTTATGACAGGTTCCTCAACAATTCCTTTCCATATACAAAAGAAAACAAGTAAAGTAAAAATACCAGGGACTCTTGAGTACTTTAATTCAAAATCATTTTACACAAAAACAGTTACAAATTTCAATCACAAACTATCTCAGCCGAGGGAATTTGGTTCATTTTTAACAACACTAACAAACGTTTAAAGCTCACAAGAATGTGACCCTGGTCAAAAATGGATAGCAATATATCACTTGTTACCCCATGTCATGGGCAATTAACAAAACAGTTACTAGTATACACAGATCTGTCTCTTTTAACCTGACTATAATCAGTCGCACAAAATTTAAACATTATATCTCCTCCAGCCTTAAGCGACAAACAAAAGTTTTGCACCGTAAAATGAAATCACAAAACAGCAATTATATTGGCCTTTCTCCCAAACTGAAAGGACAATTCAACACAAAAGCAGGCACACACGCCAGAATGATTTGGAAGAAAACTGACTTCATCAGACCACATACAGCATCGTAAAAAACAATGACTCCAGCAACTCCACATTCTTAGTTACAGACTATGATGGCCACCAAAAAAAAAAGAAGAAAAATTATCGGGGGTTTAGAACCAAGTAAGGATCTCTCCTATTTTGAGATGAAAAGCTTAAAATTTTTACTCCTCTGCTTGATGTTATCCAAAAACATAATCTTTGAGTTTGAGCAGACGTGATGCAAGTCGCTGAATTTTACTTTAAATGCAGTTATTTTTACATCCCCATCGACACAATTTAGATCATTTATAAAACGGTCAATCTGGGCTAATATGGGTTACAAGGATGCAAAAACCCAGTAGAAAGACAGAGATACACTCGATAACAATTCTTCACTTGGGAATCAAGCTCCGTTCTCCTGCATGCCATGCAGAAGCGTAGAGCTGCTTCAACACAGCGACCATCAAATATTTACCCCCCCCCCCCCTCCCCCCCAAGAAGTTTCAGTATAGTCTTAGTAAGTGTTTTACGACACTTGCAACACAATGTCATATGAGAGCCGAAGATAGGATGTGTTGCAAAAAGTAACAAACACAAAAAAGGAGGGGGGGGGGGGGGGGTAAAGACGATAGATGTTTGATAGGACAGAAGAAGCAAACCACACTATAGCACCCGCCAACCACCCCTTTAAAAAAAAAAAAAAAAAGGTAAAACAGAGATTGTTACAAAGCTTTTGACTTCAAAGGCTCTTCTGCCCTTTTGGCAAAAATTTTGGCAACTTGGCAGAGGTGGAGGTGGATTGAGGCACACAGATTGTAGTACTACAGTCACACACATACACATCTGGAATTAGTTTCTGTCTCTGACATTCCTGTCTTACTCCATCCAGCCTAATGCAAAATCGGAGGTCACCATCTCGGCGCGATTTATAAGACAGAAAGGGTAAAGACTAAAGGCTACTGGTTCTAGAACAAGAACAACATCCCTTCACCCAAGCAACCCAAAGTGTTTCAGTTTTGATGCTACGAGGCAAAGCCAAGCTTGCCTGATCTCGTGTGTAAAAGTTTACAATATATTAGTTAATTCCTGGATGACTTATTTGTCCCATTTCTGAACACAGAAGGACAGAGTTCAAGGCCAACGTGAAACCATTTAATCAGATGCAGTTCTTGAACTCGAGCCAAGTTTCGCATTACAGCTTGGCTTACTCCATTAAAAAATGTATGAGCAGTCTAATGTTCAAAATATTCGAAATAAAATACTTTAAAAGATCAAATCAGTAGCTTCTGTGAGCTCACATATCCACAGGATTTATAACAAAGAATTTGTGGTAATGCCACATTTTCCCCCCAAATAAACCAACAATAACCAAGGAAACAGTTGTTCAAAATCAGAAAGCCAAATAGTTTAAAACAAAAAATTAAAAGAGTGAAACCCATAGTCACGTCAAATTAAAAAACCATCCCAACAGTCGAAACACCAATGACAAAATGTAATAGTAACCCTGGAAGCATATCATACAACAGGCCAGTTTATCTTAATTAAAAGAAAACAATTTCAAAGTGTGGAAAAAAAACCCATTTCACTTTCATTTGCGCACAAGTTCAGCCTACAATGTGATCAACATGAAACAAGTCCAATTGACTGTAATGTACAAAGCAAGACTTCCACCACACCAGATGAGTTCTATTACATTTCCTGGACTCTGAGGTGTTTTCGCTTACTCAAGTATCTTCGATGCATTCATTCCAAGACCTTCAATAAACAGTTCTATAAGACGAAAGAATATATTTTTCGAGTAAAGAAAATCCAAACCACAAAGTAATCTAAGCAGAAATTGAACACGCCATGGTTGCCATTGTTCCCAATTTCCAAATGTTTTCCTTGTCCAAAATATCCCCCCCCAAAAAAGAAGCAAATAATCACACCCCGTCAAAAGTGGTAACTCTCTCATGCCTGCAGTGATCAAGCAGAATCCAGTCGCAGCTAGCCGCACACATGAAATTATTTTCTTTCAAGCAAAGGTCAAAACACAGCAGAAAATTTCCTCCTCTCAGACACATTAAAAATCGTTGTGCAATCAGACAGCATAAAGTTTTTGTCCAATCAGACATAAAAAGGTAATACTGTCCAGTCAGACTCAACTCATCAAAGTATTGACCAATCAGACGACTGAAAATATTGCCCAGTTGTGACAAAATAGAGAGTATCCTCCAATCAGACAACACAATACATTGTATCAGATGCACATGACAAAATATTGTCCAATCAGACAGCACCACTTACCATTTAATCTAGCCACATGCAAAAGTATCATTGAATAAGATATACACATGAAATAGGTGTCCAGTCCGAGCCAGCACAGAACATATTCCCATCAACTGCACAGTCATTATCATGATACGACGCCAGGAAGTCCAGGAGAAACTTGAGCTGTACAAACACTCAACAGTAGGAGCAAAAACATCAACAGCCATCACGTCACTCGCGAGAACAACCAACACGAAGCTCTTGAGCGACGACCTCAACGAGATGAGAGTAGAATATTCACTGGCACACACAGAAGCAACTACGCACAGTGCCTCCTCTGTTAGTACGGGGAGAGGGGGCGAGGGGCAATAGGAAGAGATGGGTCTTGAGAACAACATAGTTGAAGACGATGAAATCTTGGGAATTAAGCGGGGCTGGGTGGAGGAAAAAGCTTTAGGTCTGAAACAATAGTGGAGACGGTAGGGAGGCAGGGCAGTGGTTCACAGGCTATGTAGACGGTCATTCACACGTGGGTACCTGCAGAACCAGTCAGCCCCTGTGGTGATCCAGAGCTATACGACCAGGCTGAGGTCAAGACAAGATGGCGCGGGGCCGGTGGCGAGACCACATGTGGCCGTCAAGGGAGGCAATGCGTCTTCTATTCTTGCGGTGCCATAGCCGAAGTGTGTCCTCACACACACTGGACATAGCCTGGACAGAAAATTTTGAATTAAGACAAGATTAGATAAGATGATACTTTATTATCCCAGAGGGAAATTTTCTTGACAGTACAGTACAGGACTGTAAAAAATCATGCAGGTATACATAAAAATCTAAATTATATATTACTCGCAATAAAATTCAATATGAAAAGAAGTAAAGCTGACAAAATATACATATCACAAAATGATTGCATTAAAAAAATCTGAATCATATAATTTGTATTTTTTTGTACATGTGTGGCATTAAAAAAAAAAATCACATAGATGCTTCATGACGAAGAACACTGAGCTTGACGATAAGGGTTAATCCACACTGGATTTGAACCGACGACCTATAGAATCAGAGGCGAGCCCCTTAACCTCTAGAACACGAGAGCCCCCAGACTGTGTGGGAAACAATCAAAGAGAAAAAAACCCCAAAGATACTCAATAAAATATCTTCTTCACTTGGGAATCAAACTCAAGCATTTTGAGTGACAGGCAAACGTCAAACAATTGTTGCATCCCATATGCTGGTTATATTACTCACTTCATGAAAAGCAGCGACATGAGTGTAGGCACCATCAAATTGTTCACAAAATGCAAGGATAAATGGTAAGCTCGGTGGGTATCTTAAAAAGTATGGACGACCAAGGTCCAAACCTTCAATGAGACATTTGCTTTTTTTTTTGTGGTCCTTTTAGACAAAGGTATAAAATTCTCACTGCTCTGAACTAACTTTACAATGTAAAAAGAGGAGTTAAAACCAATACCATACTATGCATAAAAACTCAAGAAGAAGAAGAGATACATGTTTCCTTCACAGCAGAACAGATATTTGACAGGAACTGGACATCTTGGACCAAAAGAATATCAGAAGAACGCTACAACAAGCAGAGGAGAAGAAGACACACACACACACAAAAAAAAGAGTAAATGAGGGCAACGCCCCCAGATGGTTGTTTTCCTCACCTCTAGTTTGAGAGCCCTCTCCTTGTCCAAGGGATCAGGCGTGTAAACAATTTCATGTGCGTCGGCCAGCGCCCGCAGGTCAAAGTAGTACTTGGCGTATACGCTCGATGGTACGTTGATGTTGAACTGTAGCAGCTCAAGCACCTGACGCTCCAGCTCGTTCCTGACACGGCAGAAAGAAAAAGAAATGTGACGCTAGTTCTTCTTTTTTTTGGTAAGTATGTTAGCATGTTCTTATACACAGTAGAATTTTAAATGGGCTGATTTATCAATGTCATGCTCATACTGTGGCAGAACCACATGGAGGGGATTGCTGCTTTTTCTTTCCTCAACCTTACTATCGTCATTTTTCCTTTACTTGTTTTGTATGATTGTCACTCTCTTGTGAACCTTCATTTCCGGGATGCCTGGATAGTAGAAGCAGATTTTGTGCTGTTGAGGCTAGAGAGGTGAGCAGAGTAAGCCTGCCCCGTTTGGATTTCTCTGTTAGCATAAATCACTTGGCACTCATATAACGTTACGCAGTTGCGGGCGCCGTAAAAACCTTATTAAAACAAATTACTTCTTCAGCCCGCTGTGCAGCTAAAGCCAACTTCAGTCCTAGTTCTCCACTAATGACACAAAAATACAGGTAAACATCCGCTGCACAGCGAATTGAAAAAGTAACAGCCACCAGAACTCTAGTGATCAAAAGCAATGGACGAGAAGAACAGTTTTCGAAAATAGCTTTATCTGCTCTCATGCATGAGGTTGAGATATGCTCTGTCACGGTCTGTTTCTTCTTGTCAATGTATCCATTTTTCAAAGCAATTAATGAATTCATGACTCTGTTGACCTTAAATCTGCTTAGTTTTGGTAAAAGTTTTACGGCACTTGCAAAACAATAAGGTCATATAAACAGGATCCCCACCAAATCCAGGAATTTTTTTTTCAAGACCCCAATTCAAGGGAAAAATCAGGCCGCTGCGCGTCAAGAATGATCCCCCAAAAAGCCCATCTATCAATGATAAAAAGTCAAAATGTTTTTGAATGCAAATGTACATTTTGTAATACAGTCTTCAAACAACAGATGATTACAATGCTGGGAGACTGCCAACTCAGCTTCTCAATTTTCCAAGGGAGGGGCCTCATCCATTTTCCAGGGGCATGTTACATAACAATGACAGCCAGAGCTTCATTTATATCTAATATAATATAAATGATATATGTATAAGTTTGTGAATACACACACACACACATGTAGGTACAATATATCCAGTCAACAACATGTCAGTATAGCACTGGGATCTTGTGTGACTTTGGTATTTCAGTCCTTTCTTACTTATTTGTATTTTCTCCTCATCATATTAGCCTAAATAAACAAGATCTTTAGGCCCTTTTAAAAAATGAATTCTGTTTTGAGCCTGAGGAAAGACCTAGAACTAGAATATCAATTGTCAATAACCAGTCTGGGAGTCATAATTCATATAATAAACGTGAAGACGAAAACTATTGCTCAATCTCAAAGTACCGGTATAGTAATGTTAGTGTAATAACTTGAATGGCTCAAGTAGACCTATTCAGTGAGGTGTAAGAACTGACTCTTTACTGAGGGAGGGCAAGATGGAGTGACACTGAAAATTTGCCAATCTTGAACAGAAAGCTAAAGATATAGATCTACATTACAATCACCCCAGCCAATGAAACGCGAACACTTTATTTCAATAACAAGGCATGACGGATCCCAATTCCACACAAGGCCTGCACCAACGCGCGCTTTGCAGAGAGCTCTTATACAGTACTAAGCTAGTTTTCAAAATCCTAAATACTCAAAATTTGCTTGAAAGTTAAGTTTTTGACCTCTAGCGTTGCCTTCAGCCCCCCCCCCCCCCCCTCATCCCCTTCCCTGAGTGTATCTTATAAAAAACAACAACAACAATAACCCCCCCCCCCCCCCCATTCCGGGGTCCTATACTTCACAGCGCTCAGACCGCCGGTACACACACTCACAGGTTCATTGACCGGTCACGATGGCGAACGTGACAAGACGCTTGTAGAACTTTCTTTTCTTTTTTTTTTTCACAAGTGACAGCAGAGAACACATTTTTAATATTGATTTATTTTCAAGGCGACACAGCGTTCATAATGCACAACCAGCATATTACAAATGTTGCGTTATCTATCAGACTAGTACCGGAAAATTTCTGGGCGGTAACGAAAGCAGATCTTGATTCTTCCCGATCGAGCCTCCGTCCGGTGTCACACATACACTTCCGCCTGCCGCCATAGTGGTTCATTTACGTTTCCTCTTCATGATTCATCAACCATACTGTCTAGATAGCTACACTACTAATATTCTCTCTCTCTTTCTCTTGCCCTTTTTAACTCCAAGTGGACACAGACCATCAACAGCATTACTCCAGCGAAGCCTGTCCTGAGCATCCTTTTCTATCTACATGTACTACTAATATTACACAGGCCCTATCCTTTCCCGACCCATCACAAAATTCCCGACTTTTTCCCGACCTATCTCAAAATTCCAGACTTTTTCCCGATTTCCCGACCTGGTGGGGACCCTGTATAAAAGTGCCGAAGAATAGATTATGTGTTACGAGAGAGTAACAAACACAAAAAAGGAGGAAACATCAGGATGAAGGAAAGAAGCAGCAAACCACACCAAAGCATCCACCAACCACCTACCTTAAATCTGTGTAACTCTACACAAATACACTAACTACTTTTGCCAGACAAGGCAGCTCCCTTGAATGTGGCATCGGTGGCCTGGTGGTTAGGCTACATGACTCATAATTGTGAGGTCGCGGGTTCGAGGGTTCAAGCCGCAGGCCCCACGTTGTGTCCTTGGGAAAGGCACTTTACACAAATTTTCCTCACTTCACTCAGGTGAGAATGGGTATCCAGTCATAGACAGCGAAATATCTTGTCAGTATATCAGTGCTTTAGCGCCTATAAATGGCCGATTGCACCGTATGCCTCCCAGGAGGTTGAGGTTGTTTCAGAATGCTTTCAGGTCTGCTGGGGTAATAGTATAGATTGTGAAGGGCATAGAGCTTGCTGTTGAGCAGGGATTTGCGCTATACAAATGCTATCTATTTTCAATTATTATTAATGTGGGCACTCACATGTCATCGACCTGAATGTCCTTGAGGATCTGACAAAAGTCGACGTTCCAGACAGCCTGGTCCTCCCACACCTTGGAGGCAAGGATGATGGCACCCAGCACCATACGCTTCCAGTTGCCCGGGTTGATGTCAATTTCAGAGTAGGTGAGCAGGCGCTCCAAGTACACCTGCAAGGGGTGAGGGAGAAGAATGAAAATAAAGAAGAAAAGATTATATTTTTGCAGAGGGTAAGTTTTAGTTTTTAGTTTAGATATAGTAAGTATTTTACGGCACTTGCAACATAATAAGGTAAAAAAACAACAACAAGCGACAACAAACAGATTATAAAATTGAAAGCTCATTACCTTGCTGGAAAGTAGAAAGGTCATGTAGAGAGAACAGAAAAAGCTTGAGTAAACAATCTTTACAAAGCAAATCTCCATAGAAATTATGATTGGCAAATCCCATCAACCCACAGACTTTCGTCTACAAGCATGTAACATTCACTTAGCATACCACCCTATAAAAATAAAATACAGGAAAGAAAAAAATACAAGCGGTTCAGCAAAGACACATCCACCTAAATCAGTATTCATAGAGATTACAAATCAAAACCTGAACCGCATGGCACCTCTCTCCTTGTGTGTTTTAGAAAGGTTTTACTGCGCTCACAACTGCATAAGTCATCTCTCTCCTTATTTCCCTTTGTCCCAAAACATCTTTGCAGAAGGCACAGAGCCGACAATAGCCAACAGACAAGTTTCACCACACCACTGACCAGTGTAACAATGGCACATTCTGCAGTCAGCTGAGCAGCGTTGAACAAGTTGCGGACAAATCGGTAGATGACCTTGTGCTCTGGCTCCCTCTTTTGGTAGTCCTCCGGTACAGGTTCCTTCTGTAACAGACAACATGAGAACCCGACTGTTCAGTATAATCATGGAAACATGTTTCTGTCTGTTTACTGAAAGCATTTATTGCAGACATATCGGTAGAATGTGATACTTAGGATTAAGCTACCAACCCCCCCCCCCCCCCCCCCCCAAGCAATCAAGCTGATTTGCACTGGCAAAAGTTTTAACCACTGATGTAATGGATCTACTTGATTGTGGGAACAGAAGGACAGGGTAAACAAAAGTGGTTGAGAGATGAGTGAATTTGGTCCCACCCAAACAACCCTCCAACACTCAATGTCAAATGAGACGACAAACACAACACTGCCTTCCTTGAGGTTTTTGAGTTGGTGTTAACTCATCAAGGACCAGACCTTGGTCTCAGCACAAAATCATTAAGGACCATGCTGACAAAAACTCCTTTTTTTCAATTTGGTGCCAAAATTTTCCATTTGCTAAATCAAAAGCCTGATCAGTCACTCCACTTGTGAGAAAAAAATAAAGTGAAACTGTGACTAGTTTTTAAATATATTAGAATTCAAATTTCGGAATCACTTTATTTTAAATGGTTACAGTGACTAAAAACCACATTTTCTCAAAACTGCTGTGCAGAAAAAAAAAGGAGTTTTGTCAGCTTACAGCAGCATGTTCTTTATTGTGTTTTGGTTTGAAGAGATTACAATGTAATAACACCATTTGTTTGACATGCATGCCTTTGAAAAGAATTCAAAAGGGCAAATATAAAACATAAATAAATATATAAAAAAAGATTTTAAAAATGATCCTGTACTTACAGAGAGGGGATGAGCTTTCTCGTCAAAGATCTGCAAGATGTTGGGTTCGAGTGCAGCCAGCTGCTGCTGGTGCTGTGCGTCCATCGGGATTCGGTTGCGGATGTGGAAGAAAATGGCTAGAGCCACGGCCTTGATGGTGGTCTTCAGGTTGGGCTGGGATACCGTCGAGTCGTCCATGTAGATGGTGGAACACGAGCTGAACTTGCGCAACTGGCCGTACTCATCCAGCTAGAGAGGATAAGAGGTGTTATCAGAGTTTTGGTTTTTCTTACACTTTTAGTTCGAGTTTTACAGGCAACACAATAAGGACATATATGTGCCAAAGATTAGAGGTGTTGCTACTAGAGAATAACAACAAAGAAAAGGAGGAGAGACAAGAGAAGTTTTAGTAAGAGTTTTACAGCACTAGCAACACAATAGGGTAATATAAGTGCCGAATATTAGAGATGTTACAAGGGAGTTACAAACACAAAAAAGGAGAGATAAGGACGATAGATGTTTGATAGGAAAAGGAGCAAACCACAGCAGAGCACCCTCCAAGCACCCACATACGAGTTTAACAGCACTTGCAACACAATAAGGTCATATATAATGTGCCAAAGATTAGAGGTGTTACGACTAGAAAATAACAACAAAGGAAAGGAGGAGAGAGAGAGAAAAGAACGGGTGCATGAAGACAAAAAAAACCCCCCAGTACACGACAAAGACGAAGTACAGTCAAACCTGTGTAAGACGGCCACCCACTGTCGAGGAGAAAAGTGGCCGTACAAGACAGGTGGCCGTCTTAGGCAGGACTGACCAAGATAAAGAAAACAAACCGTTCCCATCTGAGGCCCCAATCAAAAGTAGCCCCATTGTTGCTGTCTTTGTTGGTGTTGTTGTTAGTTTGTATTTTCGTTTCATCATACGAGTCTACTGTCTCCAGGGCACTAGTTCTGAGGACTTCTTCTGGTGTGGTCTTGTCACAAGAAGGGTCTAGAAGTCTCGTCCTTATTGTGACTTCTGGTGCCTGCCAATATGAGGTTCGCTGTTGATGTCGGTGATGTCTGTGTTCTAGGGTGGGTCAAACTACCCAATTACTTTTGTTGCTTCTCGCATGAAGGAGGTCTTCTAGATGCGTGTTCTTGGTTCACACTCATCTGCCATTTTCCTGTTTTTGCTCGTGTCTCCTACCCGCACAAATCTTTTATAGGTTTCTAGCGTAGCACTCTTTCTTCTGAGGTCCAGAGGTTCTACGCTGTAGCGGATTTCACAGGCGCTTGTAGGTGTGGTCTTCATCGGGCCAGAAACAAATCTGAGTGCTTGGTTCTGTACTCTGTCAAGCTGTTCCAAAGTACTTTGGCTGGCTATGGATTATAGTAGTAGGGAGTAGTCAATCACAGATCTTACATATATAAAGTTGTCGGAGGGTTGCTTTGTCAGCTCCCCAGTTGAGTGATGAAAGGTGTTTCAGAAGGTTTAGTCTGGAGGTGGCTTTCTTGGTCAGCCCGCCTAAGTGCTCTTTGACAGAAGGTACTTGCGATAACCCTCACGTTTGATGTAAAATAAAACCCTGAAGAAACTTTATTTGCCAGTTTAACACTTTGCCGCCTCATCTCGCCGATTGGCGATGTTTACCACCAAGTTTCTTTGGATTTCCCCCAAAATATGATGGCAAAGTCAGTTTCAAAGTGTTAAGGAACAGCAATTTCGTAATTTAGACACTGGAGACAAAACAAAAAGGAGAAGAAAAAAATCCCTTACAAAATGCTTGTGTCCTGCAGGAGTCAAAATCATCTGGCTTCTTCGTCGAAGTCGATTATCTGGAGGAGGAAAGAGTGAGTGCTTGTCATTTCATTCAGTCAATATACATAGAATATCAACAAAGAACTTTGGCATTAGTAAAAGTAAAAGACTGCAGAAAAGGTACTCTACCTATACTCCTATTCCTTTATACCAATAGTACCATTACTTTTGCTTGCTTTCTGATATTTTTGAGCAGCCAACGCCTGATACTTAATTCATGTTTTGCTCTATTTCTTTCACATTCGGCAAGGGTATGGTATAGATCAGGTATAACATCCTAAATGACACAAAAAGGTTTTTTTTCCAAGCATGTTTCTGGAACGTTGATCGACTGGCACCAAAGAAAAGAGCCAGGCAGAAAGGAAGGTGCTTATTGAGAGAAAAAAACAGCCATACCCAAGTGGGGTAGAAGTGCATTGACCTTTTACCAACTGGGGAGTTGTGACAAGGTCTTATTTACACCGTGACAAATACTGGTTTTCAAGGGGAGAGAACCCCCCATCAGTAACACAAAATTTGTTGAAAATTTTCTCTTAGCACTAACAACCAGAACATTTTTCAGTCCTAATGCTGAATCAGTAGGTCATCATCATCATTGCCTTTCTCACCCTGCACCAGGGTATAGGCCACGGACAAACACTCCCCACTTTTCTCTACCCTGGGCTAGCCTCTTGATGTTATTCCATGTCTTCCCACTTTTCTGTACATCGATTTCTGTGATTCTTCTCCAAGTTCCACGAGGTCTTCCCCTTGATCTCTTGCCCAGTGGGTTCCAATCCAAAACTTTCTTTGTTATGCAGCTGCCTGACTTCCTGAGAGTATGTCCAATCCATCGCCACCGCCTTCTTCCTACCTCATCCCTGACTGGGATCTGTCTTGTTTTCCTTAACACTTCCACATTGGTGACCCTGTCTGTCCATCTGATCCTCAGTAACTTTCTTAGACACCTGTTCAATAAAACCTGGATCCTCTTTATACAAGTCTGCGATGCGTTCCATGCCTCACATCCATACAACAGGACCGACTTCACGTTTGAATTGAAAATCCTCAGCTTTGTTCGAAGTGAGATCTCTCTGGTCTTCCAAATCCTATCCAAAGATATGAAAGCAGCCTGTGCTTTTCCAATGCGGGACTTTATTTCAGCACCTGTTCCTCCCTCTCTGTCAATTATGCTCCCAAGATAACAGAAGGATTCAACGTTTTCTAGGGCCTTTCCTTTTATTGTGAGAATCAGTAGGTACTGGAATTGAAAATTTGGGGACTTCATTGACACTGAACTCCTACTTATATAAACACTGTAATGTTACAAAATTAAATAGTGAAATAATCGCGTCTCACACTCACCAAAAAAAAAAAGTATATATAGAGGAATTAAGAAGACGGAGAGAGCAAAAACACTCACTTCTTTGTATCTCACTTTCAGATCTAGCAGAAAATATTGGCTTGGCTGCAGGGTGGCTTGATGGGTCATGATCACTGTCTGTGTGGGGGGGGGGGGGGGGGGGGGGAAATATTTGATTATTAAAATGTTTTTCCAAGGCATGGAAACAAGTCACAAAGAAAGGCCTTGAGAAGGCAATTATACCATCCTTCATCCCTTTCCATTTGTACAGTATTGTGTTTAACATAATTTAAGACCGTAAAATCATTTATAACGAAAAACAAAAGTATCTTTTAGTAACACTCACTTACCAATTAACTTTAACAAAGATAAAAGATCAGCTGTAAGTTTGAATGTCAGGTTTTCTGAAATTGTTTGAAAGGTCATATATAGGTGCCAAAGATTAGAGGTGTTATAAGAGAGTAACAAACACAAAAAAAAGGAGGGGAGATAAAGACGATAGATATTTGATAGGAAAGAAGAAGCAAACCACCAACCACCCACTGGCTGGTCTTTACCTTCTGGTTCCCTCTCACTGATGTGCGGCACACCGGCCAGGGAGGTGGTGCTCTGTGGGTGGGCCAGCGGTGGCTGCTCTTCCTCCACCGGGGCGTGGGGCTGCTGGTACAGGTAGGCGTCTCCCTGCTTCTTGCTCCGGTTCTTGGGGCTGTGGTACACACAGCATGAGTTCTTATTTCCCATGATGCTGTTTGTTGATGAGGTAGCGGATCCCGGTGGTTGTGGAACGGCTGGGGCAGAAAGCACCTTCACGCTTCGGCTGGTTTCAAATTTTGGCAGCCACACACACACACACACAAGAATGACTTCAACTTTCAAGTTCCAAGCACCAATTTCTGCAACACCAGTCTGCAATCTCTGCAGCTTAATACAATTTTACCAAACCCATGGCATGTTTGGGGTTCATTTTGTCACATGAAGACAGCTTGGATACAAAATAGTTCCAGCAGATGGTATATCATGACAAAAATGGATTTTCAAAGTAGTAAAGAGATTCATTCTTTCATGCAGTCAACAGTAGCTCTGCTCGGAGAAATCTGGATTTCCATTACCTGCAAGGAAAAAAATAAATATGAGTGTAAGCTAAAAGATGGGAGATAAAAGAATCTCAGGCCTTTTTCTGTAACTGGAGATGTATTTCTAATCACAAGAGAGATAGGCTATCTTCTCACACCAGCCATCTGAAACCAAATGAAAGAGAACTTCTCTCAAGAGTTAAATAACTAAGTGACTTTGGGAAATTCCACATAAACCAATGCTGCTATTACTCACATGATCTTTTCGGCACAGTTTTGAGTAAATTTTGGGACAAAGAACTAAAAAAGAACCAACTGATTACAATTTCATGGGTTTTAAAAAAAAGTTTAACCCCCCCCCCCCCCCCCCCCAACAACTAATGCATACATCCAGGCCTCCCCACTTTGCACTAGTCTAAAATGATACGAACTTAGTAGCACTTTCAATAGAGGTAACAAGCCAATAATAATTTATCCAGATCAGCTGCTGTGTAAAAAATGATAATGAAAGGAATGATGAGCATATTTTTGGGCTTTTTTAAAACTTTCAGAAAGAAAATACACAAAAAGCTGCAAACAGAAGTAATTGGGAACAAGGCAAACGTGACAATGCCAACACCACCTCAGGAATATATCCTATAAAACACTTTAAAGCAAAAAAATTCAACTAATTGTGAGACAACATTGTGGTGAAACCAGGCGCTCGTCAAAATATTGAGTTAGAAGAAACTGGCATTTTGCCGCTGGTTTAGCAAATTTTTATTGATTTTTTTTTTTTAGATACATCTTTTATGTTTATTTAAAAACATTTCTGTGCTGATTTAAACGAAAAACGATTTAAGTTAAAGCCACAAAAAAAGTAAATTTTCATTCCAAGGAATCTCAAGCTACAGAAGCCTCCAAACTTTGACTGTCATTTTGGGGGGCAACCTCTGAAACCAGGCAACCCATTATAAATTTTTACATGTCGTAAGCCACCTAGGGCCTAGGCGATTTAATTGGCCAGCGAGAGGTCAGGATTGAGTCCTCGCTTCATGCCCACACCGGAGTGCGGGTGAGAATATCGGGTGTGAGAATATAGATGGCCTATGGAAAATTCATTTGGCCTAGATTTCCTGCATGCTACGGATGGAAGAATGAACTATGCCGTGTGTCCATTTCTGGGTTGTTCTCCGTCGCATGTCCTGCCTTTTCCTACTTTGCACACCCAAGCAATTGCTCTCACTGACTCTCTCTCTTTTTTTAATGCACTCCAAATGTATGTGAGAATCACTGGTGTGTGGGTCACAATGGGTTCGTTCAAAGTGTTATTGTTTTTATATTAAGTAATTATAATCATTTACCAGTTTCGTCTTTTCAGATATGTGTCCGTTAAAGCTCCTGAGTACATTCGGACACAGTGTCCTTTATAAGAGTATCGTACATTGAGGGCCTTTTCCTTTTTTGAGAATGACATGCTTCTCTTTCTATTTGGACCAATGCATCTTTGCAGTTTGCATAAAATTGCATTCTATTTTTCTTACAGAATGATAATAACCAATCGTGATTGTTTTGTTTCTTGGTGTAAATCGACCTGCCATACATGTTTCAAAAGAGGGAAAATTATTTTTCAGAAGGATCTTGCCCGTGTCCGAAAACACACTCTGCATTGTCATTGAATATTCTTTTATTTCATTTGCAAGACAAAGCCACTTTTTTTAGTAAGCGTTTTATGGCACTTGCAACACAATAAGGTCATATAAGTGCCGAAGATTAGAGGTGTTACAAGAGAGTAACAAATAAAAAAAGAAGGAGGGGAAGGACGATAGACGATTGATAGGAAAGAAGGAGCAAACCACACCAGAGCACCCGCCAACCACCCACAAAGCCACTTCATGTTGAGAGTAAAAATATTACTTTGCTAAGGAGGAAGGGAGGAAGAGTTGAAAAGGGAAGGAGGGAGTGGGGGTGAGAAGGTGGGAAGAGATACCATTTTATGATTTTTATTGTTATTAAACTGTAAGCATACAGCGAACAAATGCACCCCAAGTAAACACAGTAGGGCATGTAAAAAAAAGAAAAAAAAAAAGGAAATGGCTTTTCTCAAATACGGTGAGACTTGCCATGGTTGGCTATTCTCACCCGCTGTGAGACGAGACCTGTTTTTCCTAATTTCTGAATGTACGGTGTGGATGATTATCTTAAATAGACATTAAAAAAAGGAAAAAATGGATGTTATAGAGTCTAGCTTGTAAAGGTGACCTTCTCACCCCCC